ATTTGGATAATGGTATTGTTTAATTTTAAGAAATTTTAAGAGTAAAGGCTAGAGAGAGGCTTTCGTTTGAAAAGCGTTATTATTTCGTATTTTTCTGATATTTCTAGTAAGATTTATAGATAAAAGAATGTTTATATAGATTTGAAAATAAACATTTGTTATGTAATTAAAATGTCTTTGATAAAATTTGTTAAAAAAATTTTTTAAAAAAATAATAAAATTTATAATGAAAATGAAACAAAAGAGGATTGGCCGTCCTGGTCAATCTCCACAATAAATGATAAATTTTATATTGATTCATCATATGTAGAAATTGAACAAGAAAGTCAATCATTGATTGACAAATTTAAAATTGAGGATATGATATTTTTTATCAAATATGAAGAATTTAAAAAATATTTAATTGAAAAGCATATTATCGAAGCAAATCTAAAGATTAATGAAATTACGAAAAATAAAAGATTAATAACGATATTAAAATTTGTAGAGGCACACGCAAGATCGTATTTTTATATAATAAATAAAGGATATGAGTATAGTATTAAAAATCACACACACGATTTAGATAAATGGCAAAAAAAAAGATATGCAGAAGATTTAGAAGTTTGGATTGAAAAAAATAATGAAATTTGTAAAGAATATTTTATAAAGTATATATGGACTTATTCAGATTTAGGAGAATATGCAAGAGAATATTTGTTGTACAATTGCGATTGATTTTATTTATTATTTATTTATTGTTTTATTTGTTTTTTTATACATTTTTTATTTGTTTTTATTAATAATATAAATAAAATACATGTGAATTTTATTAAAGTAATATTGTATAACTATAAGAAACAAAGAATTAAAATTTAAATTTTTGCTCGTTTTGATTCTGATTGTCTTAATGCGATCACAATATATTTAACATGTTGACCTTGAGCTATTAGTTTTCTGTTATCTTTGTTGTATATTTTTATATCAGCAAATCCCATAGCTTTGCCAAATTTTATACATTCTGCTTCTATAAATAAAACATCTTCTTCTTTTGCAGGATTTGTAAATGAAATATTGATATTTGTACTAACACCGGAGGAATAATTCAATCCTTTTGAAGCTATTATGAGAGATCCACACATATCGACTAATGTCATGAGCATTCCTCCATGTGCTGTTTTTATATGATTTAAATGATTTGATTAGACAGTTATTTCGTTCTTCACCATACCGCTAGATGCGTTTATTATCTTCATCTATATGAAAATTGATTAATAATTGTTTTAATAATAAAATATAATTTAAAGAAATACAACCATTTTTTAATAAAGGACCATCAAACCCATCAAGCATTTGATAAAAATAATTTTCAATCCACTGGGTCATATCTGTCACTGTCATGATTTATTAATTTGTTTTTATTATAAAAGCAACAAGATTTTGGATTTGAAAATAAATAAATATTTTTGAAATCAATAAAGGAAAATTATCTTTTATCATCGAGGATGATGGGAGATTTGTTTGGCATTATATAACTTTATTTTATAATAATAAACCTTGTTCTTTGGATGGATTTAAATTACATTACGGAATTGACGAATATGATGATTATGAATATCCTGTAATTAAAAATTCAAACGGGACAGAATCTTTTCTCGTTAAATCAGATGCAAGACTTTATTTTAAAAATAATTTATTATATAAGTTTTATTGAAATCATTATCAATTAAATGATTTTCGTAGCAAAGATGGAAAAATATGTGTTTATTTAACTTTGAATAATCATATTTTCAATTTAAGTAATGATTTTAAATGTAAATTTATTAAGGAAGAAGTTTACCAAACAATTGATATCGATAAATCTAAATTAGATATTGTTTTTTTGATGATGAAAAATTTGAGGAAATTAAATCAGAAAACGATGGTATTAGAGATTATTATAAATTAAATGATGTTGGTTATTATTTTATTCTATATAAAAATAATGTAATTAAACATATTGGCACTTATTATTATTTTGATTATTATGATGTAGAAGAAGATAATATTTCTGAAAAAATTTTTATTAAAAGTGTATAATTATGTATTAAATTATTTATTTATTAATAATTATTGTATGAATAAATATTAAGCAATATTTAAGAAGAAAAAATAATATCGAAATTTCCAAACTGCAAATCATTGTTAGATATTTTTTTAAATGAGAGTAAATCTATTGAATTTTTATTTAATGAAAATATTTTAGAAAAACCAACAGTTTGTTCAAAATGTAACAAAACGAATTTTTTTCATGAAGATAAAAGATTTCGATGTAAAAACAAACGATGTCGAAGATCTGTTTCAATATTCAAAAATTCATTTTTTTCTAATAACCATTTGAAATGTAATGATACTTTATATATTGTATATTTTTGGTTAGCAAAAGTTTCTACTAGTTCGATATTAAAGATGACAGGTCATTCGCCTAACACGATAACAGATTATTTGGATTTTTTTCGAAAGTTGGTAATTGATACGTTAAAAGATGAACCAAATAAGATAGGTGGTAAGGATGTGATCATGCAAGTTGACGAATCTAAATTTAGTAGACGTAAATATAATCGTGGACGAAGGATGAATAGTGTTTAGGTTATTGGCGGGTTTGAAATTACGGATGAGAAGCAATGTTTTTTGATAACAATTGATAAAAGAGATAGTGAAACTATTCAAAAAATTTTAAATGATTACATTGAACCAGAATCGATACTGTACACTGATTGTTGGAGAGGATATAATGGTGTTGAGGATGGGTTAAATGTGCAGCATAAAACGGTAAATCATTCAAAGCATTTTACAGATTTGGTTACAGGCATGAATACAAATACTATCGAAGGTATTTGGAATGGTGTGAAATTACAAATCGCATCACGTCATAGATGTAAGATTTAATAAAAAAACATCTATTTGAATATATCTGGCGTAGGAAAAACAAAAATAATTTATGGGAAGCATTTTTGGATGCGTTACGTACAACTGCATATCCATCTAATTAATTTATTTTAGAATTTTTTTGTACGATGTGATTATTTTTATATGATATTTAATAAATATGTACCCGATTTTCCCATTATTCTATATATCATCCTACTTTTTTATCTTAGATTTTATGAGTAAATACTGGCAAGTTAAAGTCTATTCAGGTAATAAAGAGAAAACTGCTTTCATTACAAGATATAGTACCTATAAGTTTAATATAATGAATGCCATTTGAATTGTGCAATGCCCCTGCAACTTTTCAATACCTAATGAACCAAGTTTACAAAGACATTACTTATAAATATATAGTAGTTTATTTAGATAATGCTAATGTATTCTCACAAACCTTTAAGGATTATATTAAATATTTATATAAAGTATTTACTAGAATTAGAAAAGCTGGATTAAAACTTAATATTGACAAATATATCTTTTAAATGAAATGATTATCTTTCTTAGGACATATTATAGAAGAACAAGAAATCTCTTCAGACCCAGATAAAATTATTGCTATACAGAATATCCAACCTCCTCAAAATACAACTCAAATTTGATTCTTCCTAGACCTTGCCAAATATTATAAAAGATTTATTAAAAAGTTTTCTCTTAATTAGCTACTGCATAATGATTTCTTTTGTCTTTTTCTTATTCTTTTCTTTCTATACTCTCATCTTTAAGTATATTTATCTTGGAAAAAGCATTCTTTTTCTAACTTTTTCTGTATTAAATCTAGATACCACGTATTGCATGCAGCTAGTCTGTTCTATCCATAATTCAGGGTTTGCAAAACCAGATTGCAAACTTGCAAGCTCAAGTCCAGAAGCATGATCCAACTGAGCTTGTGCGGTTAAATTACCTTTATGAAGTATAAGCAGAAAGATTACAAGAAGAATGAAATAGGCTTAGAGTATGAGTAACAGATTTGGAGATAGAGATAGGAGATTTAGAGTCAGAGATTGAGACATTGCAGTTTATTTTGAAGAGTGGTCCAAGTTTTAGTTTGGTTGAGTTGGTGGTTGTTCTTGTTCTTTTTTGTTCTGTATTTTATTTTACTTTCTTTTTCCTTAATAAATTTTTTTATTTTTAATTTCTAAGTTGTATAAAATTTTTAAATTTTGTTAATAAAAATTTGAGCTTTAAATGATCAAATGCCTAAATCTAATAAATTTCTAAATCTAAAATTGCTAAATATCTAAATCTTAATAAAATTAATAATAAAATTAACTAAATAATCAATAAATAAAATATATAGTTTTTGTCTATTATTGTTTATAATATTTTTCAAGTTTGCTACTATCAAAGTATTGCTTTAAAATTTGGTTTTTTTTGTTTGAGTTGAATAACAATACTAATAAAATTATAAGAACTAGTAATTAATTGTTTCATTATTTCTGGCCAATAAGATTATTAGATTTAAGCATGTTTTATTCATTGTAGTTAATAAGGTGTACATAACATAATTTTCTGGTTCTAAGAAATTTTTTTTTCTTTTTTTCTTAATATCAACAATATCAACAATGCACAATATCAATTATAATATTAACAATAATAATAATAATAATAATAATAATGGCTTGTGCTATTCAACATGCTAGATGCAATGGAAATGAGGCTCTTTATGAGACTCTTGTCAAGGTTCAAAATTAGAATAAAGGTAAATATTTATTAATTTTATTATTGTTTTGGATGAAATATTAACTTTGCAATCTATTTTTAGGTTGTGGCATAAGATTAGATCTTTGAGAAGAAGAATTGTTATATTGGAAGCGGAGTTGGAAGAAATTCAGTTTTGGGAGGCAGAGTTGGTAAAAGAAAATTAAAGAAGAGATGAAGAGCATTGGAGGGTTGTTCAAGAGAAAAATCAGTTGTGTGTTCGGGTTGTTGTGTTAAAAACTCATATAGATAGTAGTTCAGTAGATTTAAATGAAGAATTTGATCTTTAAAAATATATATATTTCTATTTTCTCTTTTGTATATATATATTTTTATATTATTATTTTTCTTTTTTGTTAAATAAATAAATAAATATAATAATAAAAAAAATCAATTATTTGAATACTTCAACTAAGAGCCACACTGAACTTGGTGCCTAGCAAGTAGTTTTCTTAGCCAGTCTTGAACCTGGGTTCACATAATAATAGCCCTCTGCTATAACTGTTAATCCATAACTCAAATGATATTAAAAATTTTAATAGCACTTTTTATGGATAATAATAGAAGTACAATTATATGCTAATTTTTCTTTTAAATCTTTTTTAGAAAAATTATACATATTCATATAGGTGTTAGGCTGAGTATTGTAGTTTGTTTGTATAATTGGAGACTTTAATTTCAAATATGGTTCACGTCACTTATAGTCATCAAAGAAAATTCATATAAATTCAAATAGCTTCTTGTCTTTTAATTTAAGTG